CAAAAAAGCAAATTTTGAAAGGATGCAACAAGAATTATCTGTGGTAAATTGGGCAGCTGACTTATTTGGAGACACTGATCACATGTGGAAAATTTTAAAATATTCAGGGTAAACATATTCCTAATAAAAAGAAAAGGGTAGCTACAAGTAAAAAACCAGGTTGGCTCATAAAGAGTTTAAGATATAAAATTTAAGAAAAGCATCATAAATTTAAATTGACTGGAATGACAGGAGACTTAGAAGATTATAGAAGATCAAGAAAGTTGGTGAAACAGGAAATTAGGACATTAAAAAGGATGTACGTGAAAAGGTTCGCTGAAAATGTAAAAATTAACAGCATGGATTTATTTACATACATTAATGGTAAACAAAATGTTAGGATAGGGGTAGGACCCTTGAGGAATGATAAAGAAAGGCTAGTATCTGATAATTATGAGATGGATGAGTTATTAGATTTAAGCTTTTTCTTCAGTTTTTATTAATCAAGATTTAGGCAGTATTCCACATCTCAAACAGTTGATAAATGGAAGCAAGATCAAACAAGATAACTGCATTAATTCTGAGCTGGTTAAGAAAAAATTGGGAATTTTAAAGAATGATAAGGCTACTGGGCCAGATAATATTTCCACAAGGGTTTAGAAGAAGGTTAAAGATTTAATATGTGAGCCACTTACTACTATTTTTTGTCAGTCCTTGTGAGCAGGTACCACAGGATTTGAAGTTAGCTAATATAACTCCTCTTTTTAATGGAGTAATTATAGACCCATTAGTCTTACATCAGTTGTGGGAAAAGTTTTGGAAAGTCTGTTAAAAAGATACTTTGCAAAATCATTTAACAAAGTTTAGAATTTTGTTGAATAGTTTCACTAAGGGGAAAATCTTGCCTTACAATTCTTTTGACATTCTTTGAAAAGCTTACTGCTTATGTAGATGAGGGTAGAGGCGTAGATTTGGTATATCTGGATTTTCAGAAAGCATTTGACAAGATGCCACATAAAAGGCTTATAAAAATTCTGTCTAGAGATATGAGGAATAAGTTAGCAAATTTGATAGAAGAAAGCAGAGGGTTGTTACAAATGGAGTTGAGCCTAATTGTATTAATGTCACAAGTGGGGTACCTCAGGGCTCAGTCTTAGAACTTTTGCTCTTTTTGATTTACATCAATGACATAGAT